ATGTCAGCAAGGAATACTCGAATCTGCTGCTAACTTTACTTACGTTGGAGAAGAGGCGAAAAATGGATCGGGACAATTACAAGCGGCGGATGGACGAACAAGAGCGAAACTGAGCGAAGATCTAGCTGGAAATACCTGCACTTCAGTATGTGCCTAAGTCAACATCAAAGTTCGCTTTGAAGGTGTATGCTGAGGCATTGAAAGCCCTCACCCAATATAACATCAAATTCAAGACGGAGTTCAATTACCTTGAATACGGGTTCTACCACAAGACACCCGATTCGAGGGAGTTAGGTATACGAGCTGATCTTCTCGTGGAAGTTCAGAGGAAGGATGGAGAAAAGCCAGTAACAATCGTTATTGAGGCTCAAGGTTAGTAATCTACCTAAAATAATTTCTTATCTATACATATTTCTTTCTGTTCACAGGTACCCAACATCGGCCTCTTCTTCTACAACATCTATGCAACGTCAAGAAGCAGATCAGCAAAAAATATGATGATCTGGAGGATTCGGAGAGGAATCTGCTTCTCGATGTCGTACAAGACGAAAACGTCAAGCAGCTTCAAAAAGATCTGGTGAAGCTGCTCATGAGTGTTGGGCAAGGTTTCGTACACATCATTGTGTACGACGAAAAGTCTGTGAAGACAGCCATTGCTGCTGCTCTCAACACCCATCTCATCAACCTCAACGACCCCTAAGGTAAGCTTTACCACTTTTTTCTCCTAACACCTAATGAATTTGCATTTTCTTTCCTTATAGACCGTGAACAAACGGATTCATTCAGATGATCCAGTCTTGGCGAATCAGCTTCCACCTTCCACAAAAAAAGGCAATTTAATCTTCTTCTTCATATCCTTTTCTCTCCAATCTGTTTTATTCTCTTTTTTATTTCATTTTTTTTCTCGTTTATTCGCGTTTTTATTTTTTTTTCTCGTTACTGTTATAGTTTTTCTTCTCTTTTTTTTACTACTGTTAAATTTTTTCTACTATTTTTACTTATTACTATTATTAAAAGAACGAAGTTTTTAAAATAAAAAACAAAAGTCAGCTTCTACCTAATAAATGTAAGCTAATGAACAATCATGTACATACATATAACAAGATAAGAAAATACTTTATAGAATATTTTTATACATTAGTTGATCTACAAATTGGATTATATAGTACATGAGTGATGATGTTTAAAGCATACATTTTTAATCTAACAGACTAAGGAAATCTATTTATTCATTTATTTTAATAGCTATTTAAATTTCAAAAGAATCTTGAAGTTTAAGGTCAGCATTATTAGCAGATGTTGAAATCTAAACTGTATATATTCCTGAAGCAATAGTCCATTTTTACTTGATCACATTCCAATATGAAATATCACGTTGTGCTAATGCTAAAGTAATTGTTCTTGATTCACCTGCTGATAAATAAACTCGTTCAAAACCACGCAATATTTTTGTTGGTTCAGCTGCTTCTTGAGGGTGTGGGTGTAGGTTTTACCATGTTATTTACAGTCACACCGACGCCTACACTCACCCCTCATAGATATACTCAATCTATGCAGTATCATAGTATTTGATATCAAAATAGTTGTTCTTACTTCACCCTAATCCTATGATCAAAAAGAAAAAAAAGCGGCACATATGTCCCATCGTCCGTTAAAGAGTTAATCTTGTAAGAATTTATGAATGATAAACAAATACCGAGAATAGAAATTAACAAAAGAGGGTCGTACATCTTGTAAAGAAAACGTCTAAGAACAACTCACATAGAATAAGAAAAGAGACGTTGGTTATCGATAATACATCAACTTTGATATCTTACTGTTGCTTATCTCTAACAAATAGCATGTAGTTATTTTAGAATAAATATTTTTATTTATTTAAATAAAATAAGACAATAAAAGTACTAGAAATATTTCATATGACCATATCAAAAATTTGGAAGATCTATTAAATCTAATACTATTAATTAATTGTTTGTATTTTCTTTTTTTAAAAAAAGATTTTCTTTATCAGATAATGATAATGATTTCATTGAATCACATTTTGAATTTGGTCTTGACTTTTTTGTTTTAATATCAATAACTTTCAGAATATAATTATCTTTCATCATTTCATTAATTGAACTTGTTTGTTCAGTTGAAACTAAAGATAAACATTTTTCTTCGTTTTCTCCTCGTTTCAATAGTTCAGTTAAAAATGTTTCTTGATCATCTAAATCAAAATTTATAATTTAGAAGAATAAAAAAATATCTTTATGTAATTTATATTTTACTTTCTTTTGTTAAACGAGGATTTTGTGAAATTCTAAATGATGACATTGTTGATCTAATTAAATTAAAAAACAGAAAGAAATAATTAATATAGAATTATTAGAATTTTACTTTTTTAGAGATGATTCAATTAATGATTGTGATGTTGAACCTTTTCGAGATATAAGATTTCCTTCATAATCAAAAAATTCAGGTTTTAATTTTCGTAATAAACGAAGTTTTTCATTGTAAATTTCAGAAAGATCAATATCATTTGTTTCAGATTCTACAACAATAAAAAATAGATACTTTAATCAACCGAAATTTTTTGAATTAATTACCTGATAGTATTCCACTAGAATCTCCAATAAATAATTGTTGATTATTTCTCTGATCATATTGATCTTCATGAAGAATTAATGGTCGAAGTCTAATTAAACAAATGAAAATTATATATTTTTTTTTCTATTCAATAAAATTCACCTTGCTTGTTTTGCTGGTCGTTGTTGATTATTTGTTTTATTATTTTTATTTCTTGTTCCAACTACCATTGATTTATTATTCGTTGATTGATGATCAGTTTGTTTTATTTGTTCATTTTGTAATTGTTCTTTTACTGCTTCATAACAAACAGTAAAATGATTAATTAATTCTATTGTAGAATTTAATAAATTTTCACCAGGATTAGGTGCATTCTAAATAGATTTATATATGAAATTTTAGTTGTTTCAAATAAATATTGAAAATACTTTTTTCGAATAAACAAGATCTTTTGGTTTTGATCTTTGTTTAAATGGTTGTACAACATATATATTAGGATTGGATACACCTATGTCATCATTTTGTTTATTACTTTGTGTATCTTGAGAATGTGGTGTTGGACTACTTATTGGAAGAAGACCACCTAAACTTGAATGATTACTATTGTCACGTGTAACAGAACTTTTTCTTGAACTTGGTTTTGCTGCCATTTTAAAATTTTTCTTTTACTTTTGTGATGTTTAGAATAAAGAGAACAGAAAAAAAAAGAAAAGTTTGATCACACGCCAATGTTTATTGAGTTGCTAACGGAATTCTTTAACAGTTTCAATAAGCGACACATGACACTTATTTTCTCTTTCTTCCTATATTTATTCATTATTATATACAAAGCAGAAAACTCAAATTAATCAATATAAAATAATTTGATATCTATATGTCAAATATTGAATAATAAATAAAAATTAAATTTTCTATTTTAATTTATCGATTATGATTCATTTAAAGAAAATTTTATAAATAAGAAGATAATCGATAACTGTCGATAGTATAGACAACTGTTAATGCCTGGATATTCTTTTTTCCTTTCGTTTCTCTTGAGAGGGTACATAATTCATCTGTTCAGTGTTCTCGCCGGACGATATGTATATATGTATAAACATTTTCCATCATCGTCGAAGTTGTAGTAACACAAAACGACGAAAAAAAAAACATCCAACTTATTGTGTTTGGGCAAATCGAATTTCATGGAAGAAACTACTTCATCAACAACTCTTATTGATATTTCGCGCTACTGTTCGAGCTTTGCTGTAGGAATTCTTTTCTTTTATTGTTGATAATTAAAATAATATATTAAATTTAATTTAGGATGGTGATTTGTGGTCATCGTCTCAATCAACGTGCTCTCGATCGCCAGTGCAAAGTTTATTTTCTCCAACACCAACTCGTTCAACAGATTCAGATTCACCAATATTACCATCACTACCATTACCACCTGTTGGTTGGTCACTTTCATCTACATTTGCTAATATTGAACTTGATAAATCATCATGGCCATCAAATCTATCTTCTTCATCACAACATCAACCATGTGTAAATTATTTTCATATTATTATTATGATTTTCTCATATATAAAATATTTTTAGAAATGTTGTCGTTGTGCAAATAAAACAGAAAATTGGTTTGAAAAACTACAAAATCGAGTACATTCTCGATTAACCAAACATGAAAAACAACCAATAACACCAATTCAACGTCCATCACCAGCTTCAATTGTAATTAGACGTTTAAAGAAATTTTAAATTTTAATATGTTTCCTTTACATAGAATACTCCATCGTCACCATCACTAGCTATATTTGATGAAGATGATGATGATGATGGTACATTACGTTTACATGTATCAAATATTCCATTTACATGGTCAAAAGAAAAATTAGCTGAAATTTTTGGAGTATGTATTTGTTTTTTTTTCTAAATTTAAATATTTTCTTTTCTAAATAGAAATATGGAACAACATTTGATGTTGAAGTTGTTTATAATGAACGTGGTTCAAAGGGTTTTGGTTTTGTTACATTTCTTGCTAAAAAAGATGCACTTGAAGCTAAAAAACGAATGGATAGAGAAATTGTTGATGGACGACGATTAGTTGTAAGGAAAACAAAAAAAGAAGATTGTTTTGTATTTTAATAAATATATATTTTAGGTTAATTTTGCTAAACCAAAACAAAAAACACCTGGATCAACAAAAGAACAATCATCGTCGGGTTCAAATTGGTAAAAAATAAAATAAAAATATCATTTATATTTTTTATAAAATTATTTTTAGGAAAACAAATACTTCAAATAATCGAACGCCACGTCTAGCAAATACTCATCAACAACCATTAGGTTTTTCAACACCACCTACAGCTCGTCGACAACATTTATCAAGTTTTTCATCACTTTCAGCAACACCAACACGATCAACAACAACAACAAATAATTATCATCGATATTATCTATAGGAATGAAAAAAATAAAAATTTTCTTATGTAAATAATACTTTTATATTATCTTATATTGTGTATTTAGTTCTTGAAAACAAAATAGAGTTGAAAAATGATATTACTTTTTTTGTTTTGTTTTGTTTTTCTTTTTCTATTCAGTACTTTTTCTTTCATTTTTTCTCTTTCTTTCTTTCTTTCTTTGTATTTCATGTGATTAGGATTTAGGTGATGATATCTATGTGGTCTTTTTTTGCCCTCTTACCAAAACAGTTCTTCTGTGTTTTGGTCTTGTTGTTAATTATTACTTCTGTTTTACGAGATATACATATATACATTATACTTGGAGACATGATGATGAAAATAATAAACGAAAATATTGGATGAACCTTATAACATATATAATATAAACTATTTTATGTTTTCTTAGAATTTTCTTCTATATCCATTTTAAATATATTATTGTAACTAAAACAGCAGGCACTAGATATTGCTCTAAACTTCAGGTTATATGTCAACCCTGTTTCATTTGATAACAGCCAGGATAAATAAAATATAGATATCACTGTTACAAAACAATTTTTAATAGAAACTTCTTGTTTGAAAAATCTATCAATCGATTATACGAAGTACATTCAAAAATTTATATAGTAAGATATAAGTTATTTTTAATAAACAATATTTTTTTTTCATTATTATTCATACAATACAGATTCTTATGAAACGATCATAAAATAAGCAATTCTGATGATTTTTCTTCATATTAATGATTTAGGAACAAAATCCACAGTGTGAACATCTTTGTTCTTGCATTGCAAATAAACAAATAAGACCAATGGGAAATAGAACAATAGCACAGAAAACACCCAAACAAGTGACATGAGATGATAAAAAACCCATCTAAAATAAACGAAAAAAAAAACGTTTTTTTTAATATAAAATATAATGAACTTACTCGACATGATGGGCAATTACCAGTTGCTTGCATTATAACAGTCGGTGGAGGTGGTGGACAATAACCTGGATTTCCACCAAATTGTGGAGGTGGTGGACAGTAGCCCGGATTTCCTCCATAAGGTGGTGGTGGTGGACAATAATTAGGTTGACCAGGATACGACATTGTGAGATTTTTTCTCGAAACAACTAACGGCGAAGCTGTGCGTGTAAATGATGTTAAATACGAGAAAAATGATCCTTATCACATAAAAAATGATTCATAAAATATTGATATAAGAAAAAAAATATTGTTCTGATATCATCATGCTTACGCCATACTACTTGAGTCTTATCATAAGTATACATTAGAGGACAACACAATCTGGTTGAAAATTGAAGAAATAAATTGTTAATAACAAATTTTTCTTTTATAACTAGTCAAAATCGTAAATAATGTTACGTGCTGTTCTTCTCTTGTTTAGTTCCTGTTTTTACGATAAGTCAATCTCGCAAATTTAAAAAATATAATAAAGCACACAAAACATTTTATTAATCATATCAAATAACATCATTCTGTCACTGTATTTGTGTTTAAGATTTAATAGCAACTTCTGAAACATATCTGTACTATATTTAACTAATATTCTTAGAATCGTTTAAATATATCTTTGAAAGTTAACATTTCATCTGATTATACTTGTTTTACATGAATTAAAATATGTAACAAAAGATTTGAAATGATTCTATTGAACAGTTTCATTATTTTTATATTATACAAAACATCATTCAAAAAAAGAATTCTATGCTTCAATAGTTTATTTATATCATTCTAAACAGAAAATAAATTTCATAACGCAAGACTAAGATTGATTTTTATTTGTCATTTCAACAAATAAGTTCATAAACATCATTCATCACTAAAACAAAAATCAAATAAATTTCTTATTTTTTTTGTAAACTAATTAGAAAAATTATACTTTTATTCGTTTACGTTTAACAGATGACATATCATTTGTAGTAGTATTAGTAGTAGTGGCAGTAGTAGTCGGTAATGATAAACTATTTCTTGTTGTTATTTGTCCATGAATATCTTGTGCTGATAACTAATTTAGAAAAAAAACGTTTTTGAAAAGAAGAAAAACAAAAATAGAGTATTTACATAAAAAAGTGGAACTGCGAGATTAAAAATTTGTTTAGCTGATCGATGTACATGATGATAACGTGGATTATATTTCATTGCATTGTATAACATTAAATAAACATCACGTTTAAAATAATCTTTTGATTGATATCCATTAGATTCAAGTGTTTTTCGAATTGTATCAAGAGCAATTGGGCGTCGAACGAATTGATGATATTTTGGTGCTATTTCATCTGTTATTTCTTGTTCAAATAAATATCCTTGTCTAATTATAATTATTAAAAATAGAATTACAAAAAAAAAATAAAATTCTGTTTGTTTTTTAAATTACTTGTGTGCAAGAATGAATTGAATAATAGCCATTGATTGTGATTGCCAACTATTAGGATTTTCTGAAAGCATTGCTGAGAATCTAAATAAATATAAAAGTAATTTAGTATTTGTTTTATTGAGAAATTTTACCGTCTAGATTTTTCTTCTTCTTGTTCAGCAGCAGTATTTGGTACTGAACGTGTATTTATTGAACGACGAGTTATTGGAGCAGTAGATGAAACTAATTTTGATTGTTCTGTTGATAAAGATAGAGGATCTTGTTGACTTATTGATTCATTTTCATTTTCATCTTTAATATCATCAGTTATTTTTCGTTTTGGTTTAGGTTTATTTATTGGTGTTGTTGTCGTTGTTGTTGTTAGTGGTGCTGGTGGATTGTTAACATTATTATTATTAATAGAATTTTTTGGAGAGAAATAGACATGATATTTTGGTGTAGTCGTTGGAATAATCTATAAGAGAAAAAAAATATTTCGATTAAGTAAAAAAATACAATTTGTTTTTTTTTACTTTAATAACGTCCGTTTTTGTTTCAGAGCTTGTTCTTGATGTTGATCGAGATGATGAAGCTGAATCTGGTTGTATTAAAGGATTCTGAAGAGGAACAGAAATTATTGCTGATTGAGATGTTGATGATTGTTGATCGGATAGTATATTAGGTGAAGAACAATCCATCGGTAATGGTTGCGAAATATCTTGTTCAATTAGAGAAAGATTTTGTTTTGCATCAGGTGAGATTGAAGATGCTGGTTGTTGATTTGTATCATTGAGAATAATATCAGTAGGAATTTCAATATGTGGTTCTTCTTTTATTTGTGGTTGATCAGCAATTATATCGGTAATAGTTGGACTTTCTTCTTTAGGATTGTCGAATATTACTGGAGCTACAATTGATAACATGAAAAATTTTAACAATTAAAAAAATGAAATGTTTACCGGGGTGTATTTCTTCACTAGGTGAAGTTGATTGAATGGGTTCATTTTGTGGTATATCTGGTTCTATTTTAGGCACCTAGAATAAATGAAATATAAACTATTTGATACTGATGGAAGTTCTTAATTTTATTTACTTGAGAAATAATTTCTATTGTTGAGGGTTTATCTTCTTGTGGTTCATTCTCTTGAGTAATTGTAACAGGTGTTGTAATTTCTGTTGTTAACAATCTAAATATATGAGGAAAAGAGTATTGTTAAAATTTTGTTCTTATAATTTTATGAATAAACTAACGGAGGTGTTGGTTCAACTGTATTATTAGATTTAATATTAATAGCTGTTGTAACTTCAAGCCAAAATTCTGTTAATTTTTTTCTACTTTCATTCAATTGATATGTTAATTCAGCTTGATAAATAGATTTTAATTGTATCCAAATGTATTTAGCTAAAGGTATTTTTAAACCATTTGATGAATCATTTTCCGTCCATTGAGATTTATAACGTTCAACAAGATGTTGATATTGTTGTTTACAATTCTATTTTGAAAAGAAAAGAATAAATATAATAAATAAAATAAACACTAACTTTAATTGAATAACGTCCATCTCTTTTTGATTGAGATAAAATAGTATTTGTTGGAAATGTTCGTGAAAGATCATTGGAAATAGTTGACCAACTTTCTACTTGATCACCATATTCAAGTATATCAGATAATAAAACAATTTTTTCTTTCGTTGTCCAATCAAATGTCATCTAAAAATGTTATTTGAGATTCAATCTTCTATTTTTATTTTAATAAAATTTTGAACTTTATTTATATATTTTTATCTTTGTTGATGTTTCTTTGAAACAATTATCAAACGAACATATACATTTTAAAAAAAGACGAGAAAAGAAAAAGATAAGACATATAAGAAAATGATTTAGGAGTCATCTAATTTTCCACTAGCAATATCAACCAATTTAGGATAACGTAATTGTTTATTATCTAATTTTTCTTGCATATAAGTTGCCATTCGAACTAACATTGATAAATCTGATTCGGATTCATCATTTTGATAAATAAGTAATGCACTATTGATTTCATTAGCAACTTGTTGTCGATGTGATATTTGCATTAAATAACCATATGGAGATTCTAATGGTTTATCAAAGACAAGTAATGCCATAGTTTTTTCTAATTCTTGACGCATTTTAATTTCTTCTTCAGCAAATTCAGCTAAATGAATTTGAGCATAGGTTAATGCTTCATCAATTAAATTTGAACGTATCAATTCTATTAAATGTTGTTGCTAAATTAGAAACAATTTGAATAAAATTAACTGATAGTATCTTACGAAATGATTACCTTTAAATGGAATGCTAATTGTCGATTTTGATCAAGTAATTCAGGTGCTTTTGTATTAATTAAATTAATTGCTTCTTGAATTCTTCCACTTTCAATTGCTTCACGAATTCTTAAACGTTCATCGAGTGATGTTAAATCTACATTACTTAATGATATTCCAGCTTCTTCAGCAAATTTTTCTGCTGCTTCTTTAAATCCTTCTACAATATGCAAAATAAAAAGAATTAAAATATTTAAAATTTTTTATTTAGTACCAGTGACAAGATAATTAATAATCAATCGATTTAGTGTTGATCTTTCTAAACGTTGTTGTTCAATAGCTTCCATCCATTCAGTTTTTGTTGCTGTATGATGTATAGGTGTTGATGCATGTGGTTCAGATGTTGATGAAGTGGATGATGTATTTGATACAGCCATTGCTGCTGCTACAGCTGCCTAATTATAATTATAAGATTAAATTTTTTTTAAATAAAAATAAAGTTATATCTTACTGCTGCAGCTGCCTTTAAAAAAAAGAATAAAATAAGTGTCAATGATTAAATTATAAAAATAAAATAATAACAAACCTGTATTGGTTGTGCAAAATGTGCATGCATATTTGATAATAATAATCAAATATGAAACAGTGAAATGATGATCTTTAATTGAATATTATATGAGTGAAGGATTTTGTAGGATGGAAAGCAATTAGAGAAACATCAAAATAAAATAAAACACTGGAAGAATTGACTAACCAATTGAAAACAATGAAAAGAAAAAGGAACTAAACATATATATCAGTAGTTAGCGACATCTCTTGACACAAGAATTGATACTTTTTATAAGATACTAGAAGAAAATGAAAAAATTCTTTATTAAAAATATACTTGTCAATACTTAAAGATAACTATTCTATTAAATCCATCATATCGTCATGTTATTTACTATTTCAATACGATATTACTCTTTGTTTCAGTATCTATTCTCTTTTGTCTTTTGCTACTGTAATAAAATGATTTTCTATTGAAAACTATTACAAAATATAACGTAATAATGTGAGTAAGATTTACTGATTTTTGGCAATAGATATTCTCTTCTTTTTGTTTATAGAGTAATAATGAAATGTATATAGAGAAAGTTGTCATTTTGATTACTAATGACTTTCCTGACGTTTGTTTTTGATCCACTTCGTGGTGAAGATTTCTTGGATGGTATCAAAATCAATTTCATGAAAAGATATAAATTGAATTTTATGATTTTTGTTGTACATTAACTCGAAATATAATTTCGTTTATCAACGCTAAATACATTCTTTCATCTGTTATTATAATCGAAGAAATCCAATGGAGTATTTTTCTTTTTGAACCTATATATTGTTCAACTATATCTGATATCAGCTTACTTTATAATCGATTAACAAATTTTTTATTTTTCATTTATTTTCTTACTTTTTAAAGATTTTTGTGCTTGTTTTCCTTCTTGTTCAGAGCAAAATTTTGTATTAATAAAATTCTAGATAGATCTATAGTTGCGGTGCATGACGTTAACATCTTGAGGGTGTCCGTATGCGCCTCTTCCTCACCCACACCCACACCCACACACAGCCACCCTCACAACCACACCCGCCAACACTCAGGCTATTGTTACTAAACACGTTGTATAAATGCATAGCAGTCCATCTATATGAACACAGCTATCGATATGAGAGTCGTGCTCATCATCTTCAAATAAATATATTTCTTGATTAAAATAAAAGTAAAACTAAAGACACTAAAAGACTTGAGTTAGTATTTCTAGATATCGTGTTAGTTTGAGTTTGTTGGCTGGAAGCAATAGTCTCATCATACCCTGCGTATTGGAATGACAATAGCCTCGACTGTAGGTTTAACAGTGCGTGAAGATGAGGAGAGCTCAGACGCAGAGGCACCTAATCCACAAAGTATTAGAGCGGCGATCACCGTCGATGTTATCGATAAACCCAAGGCAAACTTATATGTAACTGTGTCGCAGTTTGAGTCAGTCGTTGGTACAGTGACTGCAAGTCCCTGTGAATTAAAATAAATGACTGAATTAGACTTTGAATCCAGTAGAGCATTCACGGATCAACTCCAGAAAAGAACACTATTCAAGAAGTTTACTTTTTCTAGTGTTTTATGCACATATTTGTTAGTGATTTGGAAGAGTCATTTTTACAAATACGATTTATATTGATATTTTCATGAAAGTTCAGGAGTGTTCAACACAGCATGAAATCATCTAACTTACCACACAATCAAGCAAAGAGGTGAAAAATTTGACTTTATAGAGGTTTCAAAGGTCTGAGACGAATATGTACATATAACATCAAAACGTAAAATTTGCTCTATTGTCGTGGCTGTTTCTAAAGCAGTCGTTGATGAGAATTTTATACTTACCACAATGCCCCATCCACCGAAAGCTAATATACTAAGTATTCCAAGGCCAATCCCCACACCATCAAGAGAATCTGAGCAAGCGATCTAAATGGTAATAAAAATATATTGCAGAAAACAACTCATGCAAATTGAGAAATCTCTTAGAGTATAAAAAAGTGATTCGGCACAAAACGTTTTCTCTGTGTATTTTAATATTCATGACTTTCTTATCTTAAATGATAGAAAAAAAGTTTCGGTAAAAAGGAATTAGAGAAAATACTTCTCTACTAAACGGTCCATCTACTTTCTAAAAAACTCTTCTATTGATGCTCTACGGCGATTTTAGAGAGTCCTATCAGAAACTGCTGCATTACCTCGTGCGAGATGATCTGGCACAACTTTTTTCTTTTAGCGTCTCTTGTCTGCGTGACCGTAAATCTATATTGTAATGAAATACACTTCAAGATTAGTATAGACTGGTTGAAAAATGTTTGCAGTATCGGATGATGTATTTTTTACTAAGAACTGCTTTTGAAAGAGCTGAAAAAAATTAGGCTTTAAAGTGAGGGGCAAAGAACAGATTTTTTTAATTAAAATCAATTTTAAATCAAAAAAATCAGTCTAATCAGCCAATCAATGAAATCTAATTTCAGTTCTTTCGCCCTTGCTCTAAGAACAACACATATCATGACCAACAGGGCTTAGAATCCATCACGAACAGTGATCGAAAAGATACCTGTTTTGAAAATATACCCTAAAGTCATCGAACTAAGCTATATTTCTCCTAAAAAGAATAGCTGTTAGGTTATATTTCACATTTTAATCTCGCAGAACTTTTTTAACAACTTTTTTTCATAAGACTTAAAATAAGAAATTTATAGGTATTGAAGCACACCCACAGGGATAAAGTGTTGTACCGAATCGTCCTTACTTACGCAGAGGAGAATGGAGAATAGAGTGAAACAAATTCCAATAACACCAAAAACGATTAACCAAATAGGTATCATTGTATTGGATGAACATTGTTGTATTCGCATTGCACCGATAACAAGTGGTGCAAGCCACAGGCCACAGAGTATCAAGACACCCATAATACCACATATAATAATGCACACACCCTCACAATTTTTAAAATCACCCATTTTTTTGTACAGCAGAATACAGTATAGGAGAACAATCTGTAACAGGTGAAAATTAACTAGAATCAAAAAGCACAACGTATGACAGCTTATATTTAGCCTAGTAAGGGTAAGTGTGAGTGAGTCTGAGGTTGTGGGTGTGGTTGTAGATAGATATTTCTTTTCTCTTTTAAATTCGCACTTACACCAACCCACACACTCTATATAGGGGTAGATGATTAAAAATTAACGCATGTTTACACGTTAACACTCCGTTTTAACGATTTAACGACGTATTTACGCATTTTTCACGCGTATTGATACGTTTTTTTCGATTTTGTCTGCCCGAATATCAATGGGATAAAACCATCCAACAAATAGAGGATCAATCAACGAAAGAAAGGCTAATAACTCTTTATAATCACTACTTATCTGCAGATGTCGAAATCAACACGAAGGTGAATGCGAGATGTACATTACTCGTCCTCTTTATATACGTTCTCTACTTTCTCTGAAGGCAATTAATGCAGACAAACAGAGAGTAAGAAAAGAAAAAATCTAAAACGTTGTGAGTGAGTTCATCAAAAGAAAATTCCAAGCTTCTGACGACAAGCGAGGGGAGGGGATACCTTTAAGCAGGGTACCCCATCTCCTTTCCAACTAATTTTTTTCAAAAATGTTTTTTTTCTTTACTGCCTGTGAAAGTGAGCTGGGTGATTACTTTTCGATTTGCATACGAATCAGCTCCGTCCGATCTGCCGTTAATTCTTTGAGTGTGGGGTGGATGTGGATGTAGGTATGGGTGAATGGGTGTGGGGTG